AACAACAATAATCAATATCATCATGGTGGGCGGCAGTGGCGGCAGGACTGGCCTGAGTCCAGTCCAAAGGCCTTGGGGGGGCTGCATCCGGCCCCTGGACCTTAGGTTGCCTACCCCTGATGTAGAGCTTTAAAAGTAATAATCAGCACTTTGGAATTTTTCCCGGAAACTAATTGGCAGCCATTTTAAAATCAGCATAATGTGATCAGTCCTGGATGCACCCATAACCAATTTAGCTGCCATATTCTAAACCAGTTGGAGTTTACAGATTTGGTACAAAGACGTGGCGATTACCTTTAAAGCCATACATAGTTTGGGTCCAGGTTACCTACAGTGTTGCCTTCTCCTGTACAATCTGCCCTGTACAATCCAGACGTGAGGCTACCAGCACATGCACTACCATCTTTAGGTCCTTTTTCTAGTCCATAAACTCCTAAATGACCCATCTGCATCTTCCAGCCCATTGTGCTTTTGCATACAAGCAAAGTACATTTTCTTGATGGTTCCATCCATCTACCAAGTTTGGACAGCAAGGGCTGCACAGAACCAAAATCAGTAATGGCTGCTTGACCTCTTGGACAATGTGGCAGAGTCAGTTTAGACCTCCGAGGAGCTGGATATTGCCATAAGATGCTTGATTTCCTTATGCTCAACACAAAAGATATGTGGTAAGGTAGGAAATGTTAGGATTTAATTAAATGGTTCAAAGACAGAACAAAAACGTCTGCTAAGCTTTTAGTGAATTTTAGAGAATTTGCGTGTAATATTGGAAAAATATTTAATATTTTATATAAATATGATTTGGTCATCTCTAATGATGAAGTAAAAATGTACTATCCCATTTCAAATAGAAAATGTAATTATTTAATTAAATGATTCAAATCAGAACAAAAATACCTGCTAAACTTTCAGTGAATTTTAGAGAATTTGCATGTACTATAAGAAAATATTTAATATTTTATTTAAAAATGAATTGGTCATCTCTAATGATGAATGATGAATTATATTTAGATTGGGCTCAAAATATGCTTTTCTTCAATTTCAAATGGTAGTATTTATTTGAGGTATCAGTTTGTAGGGTACCAGAATTTAAGAAAGTTCTGGAAACTTGTAAAATCACACCAGTGGATCAAAAAAACAGAGCAGAGGAGGACAGGGGCAGGGCAGCTCTGGAGGGGAAATCCAGTGCAAAAGCAATGTATGGGAGGTATAGTACTCAAAAAGGCTTAAAGAGAAACATCAGTCTTCCTTGCTTTGCTGGCAATGGAATAAAAAGCAAAAAGAAAAGGAGCCAGTGTTTTTTCTTTCTTTTCTCTTACGTTATTTTATTGCTTTTTACTTTGTTTGTCAGCTCTGTCATTTTGAGTCTCAAGGCATGTATAACTTTTAGAGCTGAAGTGGAAAATATGGAAGAGCAAGGGAGATGGGCATCACTTGTGTATTATATACCATAAAGCTGAAACATGTAGGTAAGATTTATATTTTCCTCAAGAGACATGAGAGAGAAAAATGACAACTATAGTCACTCTTTCTGTGTGTAAAATGAACTGAGCAGCTTAACAGATGTACAAACACGGAGCTCAGCTTCTCTGGCCCTATGGTAGCAATTTCATTTTTCAGTAGAAGTTCTGTGGGCTCATTCCCACTATGATTTGAAGTGAATTGCTGATCACTTTATATGTGCCTTGTCCCCATTGGAAACGGTTTCAGATGCGACTGCGATCATTCGGACTTGCTTTGGAGTGAGACAAATGCAAAAAAAATTATCTCTCTTTTCAAAAACTAGTTTTTTTTGGTGGTCCCTTTGGAAAAAAGCTATTAGCAAGCATGTTCAGCAAGTGGGAATGAGGGACCTGAATTGCATCACAATGGAAGAGAGGGACTCATGGCAGAGGGTGGCAGAGGGTGTAACTCATCTCGCCCCTGGTTTTTGGCAAATCTGAGAATTTTTCAAAAGCAAAGCAAAGCAGCTTCGTTTATATACCGCTTCATACCGCGCTATGGGATGTCTAAGCGGTTTACAACTGTAAGCTCATTTCCCCCCAACAGCTGGGTACTCATTTTAGCAACCTTGGAAGGATGCAGGCCTGAGTCGAGCCTGAGCCCTGGCTAGTATTGAACTTGCAACCCTGTGGTCTCTGAGTGAGTGGCTGCAGTACAGTACAGAGGGCCATGTCCTGGAAAAGGAAGACGTGTCACCATGGTGTGATTGTGTTATATGTTGTACTTATGTTGTTGTGTGGTTGTGTTGCCTGGTAGGCTCTGCCTTTTCCCCCTGGAGAGGCTTTGCGGGGCTCTCTGGCTAAGGCGGCTCCTGAGAGCTCTCGACTGCCAGGGGCCTCCAAGTCCCCTCCGAGCTGCTGCAGTGGTCCCATGGTCAGCCTTGCCCGTGGCTTCCCTGGCAAGGCCTGGCCATGGGGAGAGGGTTTGCCCTCGCCTTACCTGAGGCTGAGAGAATGTCACTCAGTGCCCAACACACGAGGCTTGCTCCCAGCATGTCCTCCATTTTGGTATCCTTTATTATTTTAGGGGGGCAATGTTGCCTAGTGGTTTGAGCATTGGACTACGGCTCTGGAGACCTAGGTTCGAATCCCCGCTCGGCCATGGAAACCCACTGGGTGACTTCGGGCAAGTCACACTCTCTCAGCCTTAGAGGAAGGCAATGGCAACCCCCCTCTGAAGAAACCTGCCAACCATGAAAACCCCATGGATACGTTTGGCTCCTTTCAGAGCGCGATCCAAGGTGGGGGCTCCCCTGGGGCTCCTGAGGGAATGGGACTCAGTGGGGGCCCCCCAGTGGGGAAAGGGGCTTCAGCTCGGCCCCCCTAGGAAGCCCCTCCACCAAAGAGCAGCTGAGGGGCCATGGTCATGGTCAGCAGGCATGGGGGCCCCCGAGGGAGAGGGAATGTCCCTGAAAAATGGGCAAAGGGAAGGTACCCAAGCACATTTCCTTTGGGGCTCTGTCTCGCCACCGCCGCTGGGGATGCCTGGTGACCAGACCGCTTCCCCTTTCAGCCTCCTTCCCCACTGATGACACAATATGTTTGACAGTGGTGCAAATCAAGTGGGAAAGACAATCATTTTAAAAAAAGACATGAATTCATGGAATAATGAATTAATACGCTTTCATAGTGGGAACTACGCATCGGCCTGAATCAGTTCAGAGACCCAGTGTCAATGTAACTCACAAAACGATTCAAATGCAAGTTGGAATGAGCCCTGTGTTTCACATCTTTCACAGGAAGGAAAGATGCAAAGCTGGTTTGAATATATATATGATATATTCTCTTGAAATCCTTTTTTGACATAACTAGGATATATCATCTGGATAGCAATGTGGTCGTACAAGCCACTCGCATATCTGTTTGCACTTTCAGGTTTGGATGAAGAAGGAAGCCTTTATGTCTTTAAGGAGGACCACATTATTGAGTTTGATGGACAAATGACAGCAGATGTCTTGGTAGAATTTCTCTTAGATGTAAGTGTACTCAAAGTCTGAATAGGCTAAGCATTAAATTCTGTTTTCTGGGAGAAGCAAGGCTTTAGCTTGTACTCTTTGTAGCTTTGATTATGCGTCATATTTATTGCACAAACACAAATAATATAATATAATAGCCAAACATTGTAAACAGAAAGACACTTATCTAAAATGTTCTTCAGAGAACAATCATTATGATTGTCACTTAAATCTAAAAGAACTAATCTCCCTGCTTAAGCAAACTAATGAAGGGAAAATCAATTTGAGTTACCTAATGTTATTTATTCAAGAATTTTAATGCTGCCATTTCCCCATCTCACCCTCAAATGCCAGTGCCGTTGCTTGGGTTTAGCAGCCATCCTTTATTGACAATAACAAATTTCTTCCTTCCTTTCTTGCAATATCCAAACTAGACAAAAGAATACTATGCTAACATAACAGACTGTTTCACTAGCGTTGTGTTCCAAGAAGACTGCAACTTATGTGCAATCATATCTTTTAGGAAGCCAACAAACAGAATGTGAAAGAAACATCCTCTCAATATTATTTGTCCCCACCATTCAGTCTCCTGAGGTAACTGCCTCTTAGCAAGGAGGTTCTATTTTACAACCATGATTAATAGTTATTGACAAGCCTATATTCCAAGTGTTTTCCCTTAACTTATATTTAAAAGACACCTGAGCCACTGACCATCTCTGTATTTTGTGGCAGTGAATTCCATAAGCTTACTGTTGATTTTTATATTCTGTATAGTCAGTCCTCTGTATCCACAGATTTTTTTATGCGTGGATTCAAGCATCTGCAGCTTGAAAATATTCAAAAAATGTATACATTCCAAAAAGCAAACCTTGATGTTGCCATTTTATATAAGGGACACCATTTTGCTATGTCACTGTATATAATGAGACTTGAGCATCCATGGATTTTGGTATCCATGGGGAGTCCTGGAATCAAACCCCAATGGATACCAAGGGCCCACTGTTATACGCCAAATGGTGTATAGATGCCTCAATAGATAAGCTGACCATATTTCCTTGAGACAAAAACGGAACATTGGGATGACAAAAATATCAAGAGTTAATGTAATATTCCGTATTCTTGGGAAAAGTAAGATGATAGCAAAAGTTTCATTGCATGAACGTATTGAGCTAAGAATTATTTTTCAGTGACAGAACTCGTACAAAAATTTGGATAGATGTAGAGGGGGACTTTATTTCACCACAATCATCCCATGAATATTTCTCCAATGAAGTAATCCTATGCAGTAAATTTCAGTCTTTCAACACGATATCAAAAAACTTCTCATATTCCATGTCACTTTTTTTTACAACCACAATTCCAAACAGAGATCTTCAAACCATTTTTGCAATGTAACAGGGCATTTTTCTTGAAAATGGGACAAAACTGACATTTATATTAAAACGACAGTACAGTCTGGAAATATGAAAAAACCCAATACTCTCCTGTTTAAAATGGTACGTATGGTCAGTCTATCCATAGAAGGCATTAGGAATTCCACCCTCTTTAAACCTTTTTACAAGGAGATGGTTAGGAACGCTTGGCAGTGATGGCATGGGATGCCTACTCATTGTCACTCATTGTCACAACTGCAGCAATGAATGTGGAGGAAAAGAGATGGGTTCCTTCCCATGTAGGAACATAGAGAGTAGGCCTGTAGGTTTTCTTTGGGCATATAATAATAATAATAATAATAATAATAATAATAATAATAATAATAAGTTTTATTTATATCTCGCCCCTCTGCCAAGCAATCGGGGCGGCTTACAACTTTAAAATCCAACAAATACATTGCAACATTGCATAAAACCTAAGAATCCCAGAACCCACCCACCCCTTAAACCCAACCCTTATTAAACACATTGTATATTAAAATATATTAACATATTAAAATAATTCAAACAGCTCAGGCAGCCAATAGCAAACAGCAGCGGTGACTCTAACCAATGTGGGGGAGGAATGGGGATTGGCCAAGGCACAGATAGGAAAATATAACTCAGCTTGATCAGATGGCTGGTTTCATATCATGCAATAACTTCCTCCATTCATATTGTTAATACTTTGTTCTTCTTGACTGAATTCCTTTATCACAGCTGATGGAAGACCCAGTGGAGATCATCAACAGCAAGTTGGAGTTGCAGGCCTTTGACCATATGGAAGAGGAGATGAAACTCATTGGCTACTTCAAAGGAGAAGACTCAGAATGTGGGTGTTGTTACTTGATTCCTAGATCTCTATGTAACCTGAAGGCAACTCGGCAAGTGGACATTTCTAATGCACACACTATAGGTGGCTAGTGTCCTGTTTGGATCAACACGATCAACACGATCCCTCATGCACCCACCACTCCTGACCATTTACTTTTAAATACCTATTCACATATTTGCTAATTGTAAGAATAGTGGTGCAGCTCTGAATAAGATTATACTCTCTGTGCAGTCTTCCGACATAGGGCAAAAATGAGAGATGGTTTAAGAGCAAATTGTCAGGCATAGTACCCAAAGCATTTCTTCCTCCTTTCTTCTTTTAAGGTATAAATAAAGATTAGAATTATGGTGTGTCTCTGGACTCTCCACTCTATCTCATCCATCTGAGGAAGTGGGCAGTCCATGAAAGCTCATCTACCAGCTTCTTTCTTTCAGTTAATCTCAAAGGTGCTACAAGATCCCTTTGCATACTGATATTCCAGACTAACACAGCTATGTCTTTGAATTCTGCCTTTCATTATTGCAGATGCATTCATTTTCCCATTTGCTGCAGAAATTACAAATAAAAATATCTGACTCCTGCTCACTCATAAAATATGTTCCTTAACTTTGGAGCTGATTATAATTGTCAAGTAAAATCCCATTTAAAAAATTATTTTTCCCTTTTAAAAAAGGGTAACTCATGATGTTTTAATCCAGTTTCATGCTCTGAGAAAGCATGGCTGCTATTTATTTTATTTTAATTTCATTTGAAGGTAACAATGCCTTCAGAGAGTCAATCGCTACCTTTCAAAGTCTCAGCAGCTTCATTCCACTTGATTTATGAAGAGAAAAGAGGTGCATTGTAAAGGGAGACCTGAGCAAGGCTATATGGCATAAAAGATGATATGGGACTAGCTTCCAAATTGAGTATTAGGTGGCAGCGGCTGCTGCTGTTTACAGGAGAGGTAAAAAAAAAGCTAAGAGAAATGGAGCTAGAAGAAATCTAATTGCATCAGCCAGAAGCCACTGATGCTAGAAATAATTGATCAAAGAGAATTCTGAGAGTTAGAATTACATATTGAATATAATATCAAATGAAGAATCAACGCATCAGAATGAACCTATTGTCTTATTAGCAGCTGCACAAAATTCTATGGACTTTGGTATCACCAAGTTGTCTCAATGTGCAAAGAGAAAAAGATAAATTATGATTTTAAATACCCAGTAAGAGATAATAATTGTGGTAATTACATTTATAGTGTACTTGTTCTGAAAATTTCTGCAAATGCAAAATAGCATAGTAACACATGAACTGATGTTTCAGTATTGTCATCTCCATGTGGGCATACACAGTTTACAAGATGGTGTTCTTGAAACAACATGTAATGTTAAAAGTAGTCCATTCTGTTGCCCTCTTGAAAAACCTCTGTATTTTATAATTGTTAGATGTTGAAAGTAAGAGACCAAAACCTGCACAAGTTCAACCTAGACAATGAAGAAATAGAAATAGTAAAAGAATTCCTATACCTGGGATCAGACATTGATAGAAACGGGAACTCCAGTCAGGAACTCAAAAGAAGACTAAGGATGGGGAGGGTGGCTATGAAAGAACTGAAAAGATTCTAAAATGCAAAGATATACAACTCAGAACAAAAGTTAGAATCATACAAGCCATCATATTCCCTATTGCCATGTATGGATATGAAATCTGGACAGTTGAGAAGATGACAGGAAGAAAATCAATGCATTTGAGATAATGTGGTGCTGGAGAAGAGTGCTGAGGATGTCATAGACAGCCAAAAGGACAAACACGTGAGTCCTAGAGCAGATCAAGCCAGAAACCTCCCTGGAAGCCAAGATGACCAAACTGAGACTGTCAGACTTTGGACACAACATGAGAAGGGTGGACTCATTCGAAA